AGGCGGGAATTGAACTCATGCGGAAGTGGTTTAAGCTTCTCAGTGCAGTTCTTTAACCCGCTGCGCCACCAGGGAGGGCCCTTAAAACAATTTTTAATGTCTGGTTTCAATCTCAGATTTTTACCTTTCTATCAATAAACGTGAAAAAAGAAATATAGGAAATTGGCTTAGAACATGTATCCATTCTTGAGGATGACTTTTTTTATATCCTTTTGAAAGTTTTTTCTTTGTAGATCCACAGTTTTTCTCATTAGTTTTTTATGACTTTTTCCATTTTGCAAAATACTCTAAATTTGAAGCCATGAATACAAATACTATACAAGCTATACAGAGGACTCATGATACCATTTTTAGCAAGTGTAACAATTACCTTTTACCAAAAGGTAAAAATTCATTATGCCCCAAGTAAGAAGTTATGATATGTTAGAATCTAAATTTCCCTTAACTGCTTTTAATTATCCTTTAACTCATTTGACTATTTGATCACATAAATTTATGCAATATTTTTTGTTGCAAGGGATTTGGTTTGCTATTTAAAAATTTAGTATCTTTTTGATCTCCTTTTTTGTTGTTGACATAGTTTTCTACATGTTGACAGCCATAATTTCTGACAATAAAGATGGTTTTACTTTGCCAATCTAGTTGAGGTATATTTCTTTCTTTTTTTTTTTTTTTTTTAAAGATTTATTTATTTGTACATACAGAACTGGGGTACAGGCCAGAGGCTCAGGGGCGGTGAGAGGCTTCACCAGAGACAGAGTGGGGAGCAGAACAGGCAGATCAACGAAGTACACTGCTGAGGGGAGCAGCGGGCGGGTCAGGAGAGGTCTGCCACGCCATGTGGTCACCTCCGGGGCAGGCGGGAATCGAACTCATGCAGAAATGGCTTTAGCTTCTCAGTGCAGTGCTTTAACCCGCTGCGCCACCAGGGAGGGCCCGAGGTATATTTCTTTTTCTTGCTTTCTGCCCTGCTTGGATTTCTAGTGTTTTGTTGACTTGAAATGGTTAGAGATTGGCATCATTTTGATCTTAAGGAAAAAGCACTTAGTCTTTTGTTATTAAGTTTAATGTTAGTTTATGTATTCTTAGATGACTTTTATCAGGGTAAGCAACTTCTGTTCCTAATTTGTATCATAAATGGATGTTGAATTTTATTAAATGCTTTTTTTGCAATGAGTTTGAAAATCATGAATACAAATACTATACAAGCTATACAGAGTATAGCTTTAATCTAGTAAAATACATTGTTTGATTTTTGAATGATAAACCAGCATGAGCCACCTTTGTTTATGACATGTTATATTTTCAATTCATTGCTAAATTGATGTGCTGATATTTTGTTAAGTGTTTATGTCATTGTTCATGAGGGATCTTGGGCTGTGATTTTCTGGTAATGCATTCCAGAGTGACTGATTTGGATATCATGGTATTGTTGGCCTAATAGGCTGAGCTTGGAAAGATTTCTTTCATTTTCAGGAACAGTTTTTGTAAAATTTGTATTATTTCTTCCTTAAGTGTTTCATAGAATTCACCAGTGAGTCCATCTGGAACTGAAGTTTTTCTGCTGCTATTGCTGTTATGTGAGCTTTCATAGTTTAGGTTTTTCAGGGAATTTATCCATTTCATTGAAGTTGACAAATTTATTAGCAAATTTTAAAAAATAATTTTCCCGTATCATTTTAAGTCTCTGGGCTTAGTTGTTATGTTCCCTCTTTCATTCTGACATTAGTTATCTGTTTCTTCACTTTTACTTTTCCCTGATTAGTCTGGTTAGAGGTTTACTAATTTCACTGAGTTTTTTTTCAGAGAGCCAACTTATTGTTTCATTGTTTTTTCTGTATTTTGTTCCTGTATTCTATTTTACTGGTTTCTGTGCTCATTGATACGCCTTCTTTTCTTGTGCTCACATTGGGTTTGCACTTTTACTCCCTGATATAATTTTAAGTTAGAAACTGAGGCTGCTAGCTTGAGTTCTTTCCTATAGATGTTCGTTACTGTAAGTTTTTCTTTAGCCCAGATTTAGCTGCATCCATGATCTAGAGTGTCTCTTCTGTTTGTGTGTGCATATCTGTGTATGTGCATGTACCCAGATTTAAACTCACCTTCAGTGTGGTAGTCCTGCAGTTGTCTTTTGATTCTCGGGTTGAAACCATATCCCTCTGGGGATACTTTTTGGCTTTTACAGTTATTCCAGGGTTATCATTGGCTAAACACCCTTTTCAGTTTCTAATTTTGATTGTTCTTGAACCACATGTAGTTTAAGTCAAACTAAAATTACATATATGTGTAGGCTTAGAATTTGCAAGAAGATTGTTTCTCACTAGAACCAAGGCTAAGGGACATTAGTAACTTTTGTTTCTCTCCACTGGTATGCGTGGTTTTTCTTTTCCTAATATACCTTTTGTCTAAGGCTGTAGTCTTTTTAAAGTTCACATCTTGTAGGGATCTTACTCCTATACCCTCTCTCATTTGCACCCAAGTCGTCATCACTTGTCTCTACATAAAAGTTAATAACCCAAACCATTGCTTACTAAGCCTGGAGTCATTTTCTCTTAGTTCTCCTGCTGTCTCTTTTGCTTATAAGATTTTGCCTTTATCACAGTTTTCAGCAATTTGATAATAACATGCTTTTGCAGATTTTCTTTTTCTTTGTCTTTTTTCCTACTTAGACTTGCTCACTTCCTTGGACATGTTTATAGTCTGTCACATTTGGAAAATATTCTATTATTTTATAAAAGTTTTTTTCTCCATACTTCTTTGAATCTTCAATTACACATTCATTACATTGTTTGACACTCCTTAACTCAGAGGTGTCTATTCATTTTTTATCTCTAGCCATCATTTAGAATGGTTTCAAATTTATGTTTCACCAGCCCTTTTGTCTCTACATTTCATCTGCTGTTAGTTTTTGGTTCCTGGTATTTTACTTTTCAATTGTAAAAGGTTTTTTTTTTCTTTTAATTGGAGAATTTAATGCTTTGTATTTTATTTTTATAGAACTTACTTATTTATGTATATTTTGCATCATTGTTCAGTTTTGTAGTGTTTGCTTTCTCCTCTCAGGTGTAGTCCCCATAGAATTCCCGCCACCAATTCACCTGTGCACTGTTGCCATCATCCCTTGTGCTCTTCTATCCCCTTTTGCTCCTTCTCCCTCTGTTGTAAAAGTTTGATTCAGGTCTTTTAAAAAGTGATACTTGGGCCTCCTGATAACCGAGGCATTAAGTCTCAGTGCTTCCACTGCAAAGGCCCACTACAAAGGCCTGCGTTGCCTGAGTTCGATCCCCAACCGGGAAGTTACCCCACAGGTGACACAGCAGGCCTCTCTAGTTTCTCCCACTGCTCCCCTCAGCAGTGTATTTAAGTAGATAAGCTGCCTGCTTCCCACTGTGTAGCTGGTGAATACTCTTACTCTCCAACCTCTGGTCTATGCCTTAGTTCTTCTATGTAAAAATAAATAAAATCTTTAAAGATAAATATGTATAATATATATTCTTCAAAAAATAAAAAGTGATACTTTACCCTTTGAACAGATGGAATATATTTATAAAATCTGAGTCATGAAGATTGAGTTTAGTTTGGAGAGGCCAAAGCAATTGAAATTTGTAAATTCTCCTCTGCTCTAAAAATTCTGTATTTGATCTTTCCACCTCTAAGCCATCTGTATGACTCAGCAAAGCCTCTCTGAGTCCTGCTTTTGTCCTCCTTCCCTGGGGTACAGCCTGAAAACTAGGCAAGGACAGATGCGGGCAGGGGATCACCTCATTTGTTGCTTTTTGGGATTGCTGTCACATATTACCTATTGTCAGGTGTCCAGAATGTGTTGCTTCATATAGTTGTGTCTCTTTCTAGTTGTTTAAGGGCATAAGTCTGGGACCTGTTAATCTCATGATAAAAAATGGTTTACTTTTTTTTTAGTTATTAATACAAAGATAATTCTGATCTTAAATTAGAGCAGATTTTTCTGTGTGTTGGTTAATTATAGCCTTATTTTTATTTCATCTACTAGAGCAGAGTACATGGTAGGAGAGGGTGAAATTTCATTTTGATGTTTTATTGCAAATATTTATTTAAAGAGTCTTGCTTTCTATTTTAGAAGCCAAACGGACAAGTCGGTTTTTAAGTGGTATTATCAACTTCATTCACTTCAGAGAAGCATGCCGTGAGACATATATGGAGTTTCTTTGGCAATATGTAAGATTTAAAAGTATTTGGGGGTCACATACCAGATTAGTAACATTATTTATGGATATCTTTTATTGTATGCTTATTACAGTCATTTTTATGTTTATATGAAGTTGTACATTTTAGTTACTAGAAAGTGTGTCTCATAATGAAGACTTTCTTTGATATTTGGCAATTAAGGGGAAGGCTGGGTTTTACTTTTTCAGCTTGGGCTCCTTTTCCTATATTAAGAACTTATATTATCTGTAAGAACAGATATAATCACATTTCTTTTTTTCAAATGTACACAGACGTGGTAGTGTACTTTAAATAATTGAGGTCATTGAACTTATATTTATTTCTAAATAATGACCTAATTGGACTGTTTTATTTTGTTTGTTGTTTGCCCAGCATTAACATAGGGTACCATCCTCTTAGAAAAGCACCAGGGTAACACTAGACATTATAAACTTAAACTCCAGCTACACTGGAGTTTCTTGCACAAATCATGCTAAACATATCTCTCTTAAACATCACTTTTCAAAGCTCACATATATATCTGCAAACACATATGAACACAATTTTGCTTAGCTAATATCTTCTTATATTGTAAAACACAGTTCAGATAGGATCTGTCTTTTCTATTAAACCTTCTGTGACCCTCTTCCCCAGTCATCACCCAAGTTGGAGGGAATGTCACTCTTCTTTATTCTCTTTACGTCCAGTACTATAACAAGTTGTTTTGTAGGGGTTTGTGTGTGTGTGTGTGTGTGTGTGTGTGTGTGTGTGTGTGTGTGTAATATTTATTTCCCTTATGTATACTCAAATCTTAGGGCAATGTATTTTCTAATTGGATAACTATCTTCATTTTTGTAGTTTATATCCTTGTACCTGATTCTTCAAGGAGACTGAGCTGTGAAGCCTCAGAACTATAAGTTATTTCTGACACTTTCCATATTTCCTAGCTGTGGAAAGAACAAAGTATTTGTTGAATAAGTAAAGAAATTCCTAGTTTGGCTTGTCATAATGCCTATGAGTAAACATTTAATAATCTGTCCTAATTGTTTTAGAAATCTTCTGTGGACAAAATGCAGCAGTTAAATACTGCACACCAGGAAGCATTAATGAAGTTGGAGAGACTTGAGTAAGTAGATTAACAAATAAAATAAATGCAATTTCAAAATGTGAGACTTCTAAGTATTATTTTGCAACCTCACAGTCCACTGCAACTCTCTTTTATCTTCCTTACTAAATAGCAGTATGTGTGTATTTTCTAGAGAAGAAAACTAGTTTTTCTTCGTTTGAATTATTTGTGTATAGTATATCCTTTCACTTATTTTTTTGTTAGTGCATGAGCCTGACTTGTATAAAGCCACTCACTCCTAAATTGTGTTTGGGAGTATTTATCTTTTGGAGTTGAGCATAGCTAACTGGACTCTTTCTTCAAATCAGTTAATTCTGTTAAAATGCTTACTTCTTCATTAGAAGTTTTGTTTTGTTTTGTTCTGACTCATAGATCAGATAGAAGAGAGTCAGTTAAAGGTTATGATTTCTTGGTTCTGTGTATATAATTTTGTGTTTGTGTGTGTGTATATATATAATTTTGAACAGAATTTTTTTTATCCCTCTTAATTAGTTTATGATCTTGAGCTTATCTATTTCAGGTGAGAGCTTTTCTAACTGGCTGTGGTGTAAATTGTCTTCAGAGACAGCAATAAGTTGAAAAGACTGGGAATAGGAAACGGATATTAAAATTTAACTTGGCAAATTTAGCATAAGCCAAGTCAAAAGATAAATGACATACTGAGAGAGAATATTGGCAACATATGCAGCAAAGCATAACTATCTCTAATTACTGAGTAACATGTAATTTTCATAATGTACAAAGCACTGCTACAACTGATAGGAAAAAGATATTAGAAACTTGGGCAAAAACTGGGGATTTATAGAAGAGTAAATGCAAGTAACTAATTAAAAACTTGTAAAGATTGTCAAGCTCACTAGCAGTCAAGGAAGTGAGAATTAAAATGACAATTTTATACCATATTTCTAAAAGTAAAGTTGAGGCATTCATCAGGCAGAGATTTGACATGTGTGAGTGTGGATAGGGAGAAGTAATAGAGCAGAACAAATGAATACTAAGGGTGAGGAGAGGAGTATCAGTAGAGGTGAAGAAATCCACGTAGGAAGAATAGTTGTTTGCCTGTTGAACTGTGAGGGGAAGGGTAGGCTCATCATCTGTATTAATGAATCTATGCAGACTTGGTGGTAGGAAGTTGGAGGGGTTCATCTGCTTTTTATTTTCTTTGTGTAATAGAGGGCCTGTATAGTTTAAATCTCTGTCATATGGAAACATGGTAACTCAGGAACTTGAAGACAGATAGCTTTTTCATTTATGTTATTTGACTTTGCAGATTTAAAAACTCAGTATGTTATTTTAATCTGTGTTACTGTGTTAGTTCTGTTCCAGTTGAAGAGCAAGCAGAGTTCAAGCAGCTTTCAGATGATATTCAGGAGCTGCAGCAGTCACTGAATCAAGAGTTTCGTCAAAAAACGGTATCTGCTAGACACCTGAAAATTTAAAAACTGGATTTGGGGGATAAAAACATTGTATTCAGTTACTGAAGAAATAAGCTATATTGCTGTGCCCATTTGTGCCCCTTATAATCAGTCTGTGCTTTTTGTCACACATGTTAAACCATGATTATCTGTATTATAAAAGCTACATGTTGTCTTATTGATTACAATTTTTGGAATTTTCCACGTCTAATTCTGCTCTTCTTGTACTGTGCTGAGGCATCCGGAGACTGCAGAAAATCCTCAGGAGATTTAAAATTTTCTGGGTTAACAATGAAATTCAGCATCTGGCATATACTGAGGGCTCAGTGTAGTTCATAATTTCAACAGCAACTCACGTTACCACATCCTTTTGTATCTTTGTGAACTTGGAATCTTGTCTTTTGTTATGCTAAAAAGTAGAACTGTATGAAAATCATGAAGCAGAAAATGAGAATGCCTGTCTAATCTCATTACAAGGTCTGTGGATTTATGCAATGCCCAAGAGGTACACACATGTCCAATTAGGAGGTAGCTGTGCTTATTTTAGAAAAAATAACGGTCTTTTTTCTTTCAATTTGTTTTAGTTTTTCAACGAGTTTATAAATTGTTACGCAGTTTTCTGGATTTAACAACTTATAAAGGAACTGATGTATACTTTTGGCTTACAGGCATTGTAGACAGAGAAAGCTTGGGAACATCTACTCTAGTTTACTTCTTTGTTACCTTTACTTTAATAGAAATATGGAGGGGCTAAATATATATCTGTTTTGGATCACCAAAAAGCAATTGCTTTTTTAACTTTAGATAGTGCTGCAAGAGGGAAATTCCCAAAAGAAGTCAGATATTTCAGAGAAAACCAAGCGTTTGGTAAGTATCTTTTCATATTACTAGTGTTTAGGGTTTAACTTGTGTGGGATAGTATTTTAACTGTGTGTATTATGATAGTCAAAAAAATGTTTTCTTGAAACCACACACATATGTATGGATGTTTGCACAGAAAAATGGGATCAGTGATATATAATGTGAGCTTTCAGGTGATTTTTGTCATTGTTCTATTTTCATATTATTTTAAAAACACTAGTTGTCTTTAATATTTAAATTGAAAAGGGTTTTCAGAAAAAGGGAAACAGGCCAATATTACTATATTGTCAGATAAAGCAAGTAAAGGTGGAAAATGGGTCTGGAGAAGAGAATAAGAATAAGGACCCTATTAAGAACTGTGTGTGTTGTTCTGAGAAGCATACTTGCCTGTAGACTAATTTGAGCGGTTCAGTGGGGGAGTGATGTGGTTGTGATTTTACCCCTACTGCAACAAATACGGACACATTTCTTTGTTTTCTTCTGTCATTGTAATGGTAAATTACCAACCTTATTAATACATCTAAATATAAAAATATTTTCTCAACAGAATGAACTAAAATTGTCACTGGTTTCTTTGAAAGAAGTACAAGAGAATTTGAAAACAAAAATTGTAGATTCTCCAGAGAAGGTAAAGAATTATAAAGAAAAAATGAAGGATACAGTTCAAAAGCTTAAAAATTCCAGGGTGAGTTTTTAAATTTTTAATTGCTTTTTTATCTTTCTTTTAGGCAACTCTTGTTTATTCATTTATTGATGTTTTTAATTTCCTGGTTATCTTTACTTCTGTTCCCTTAAACCTTTTTGCCCTTGTCTGTAATTTGTAGCTCTTCTCTAAAGTGGGCATAAAGAAAAGAAACATAATTTTTAAGATATTTGTTCAATTATGCAGTAAATTTTTGAGGCTTTACCCTGGATAATCAAAACAAATTCTTTGTCCTTCTGAGATTTTGTTGCAAAGGAGAAAAATATTAAGCAGTTTTACAATCAGTTATATAATTACACATATGTGCTGTGTAAAAGCATAGGGTGTACATGTGTGGGAGCAAGAAGTATGTGGAAAATCCTTGTGTTAAATTTTGTTGTGAGCCTAAAACTCCTCCAAAATACAGTCAATTTTTTAAAACACACCAAAAAGAGAAACAAACAAAAAATAGTGTGGGGTACTTTCAAGTAATGTAATGAGGGGTGCTAAGTGTAGTATTGTAGAAGTCAGAGGTGGAAGTAGGAAGGAAGTAGAAATTTCCACTGACATCTGAGTGATGCATAAAAGGACCCTTATTATACTGGCAAGAAGGTAAACTTGTAAAACCATATAAAAAATCTTGTTTTACCATAAGAAACTAAAAATGGACCTAAGGGGTGATAGTATGGGGGAAAAATAAAGAAATTTATGCTGACAGCTGAGTGATGAACAGAAGCTATTATAGTAAGTTTGTATATGGAAGAACACTTCAGACAAGAGGAACAGAATATGCAAATTCTTTGAGGTAGTAGGGAGCAAAGTATGTGCAAGAAATAATGTGTAATGCATATGAATGTGGCTGGAAATAGGAAAAATAGCCAGATAATTCAAGGTGCTGGATTTTTTTCTTAATAGCAAAGGTACACAACTGACAAGTTTAAAAGGGGGATATTAGAATATGGTATCATTTGTATTTAGAAAGATTATGTCTTAGGGTGGCAGGTGAATTGAGGCTGGGTAAGACAAAAGTAGAAATGGGTAGACAATTTAGCATCCTTTCTGAAGCATAGTTTTGAAACTGTTAATTTAAACAATATTCTGCTTCTAAATTTGTTATCCTAGTCATTCCTGATAATTAAGGATTGTCACATAGGAATAGACAAAGATTACCAGAGCAGGAATGAAAGCCTAGAAATCTGAGTGCTTAGAAGAGTGCTTAGTTTATTTAACAAGTAAATAAACTGTTCATCACTCAACTGTTCAATGGCTATTTATTGAGAAGAAAGGGGAGGTGGGTATAAACTTGCACCATTTATAAAAATTCTATATAGATTAAAAATTTAACAATTTTAGAGCATATGTATAATCTTGGTCTGAGGTAGATTTGAAAACATAGACTGAAAATTTAAAAAAATCTACAGTTAACTAAACTTAAAATAATATGTTGCAATATGGCAGGTGAAGGTATTGTATGGGTGAACTGCAAAGTGTCTACAATTTAGTAATAAAAGAAGAACAGAAAATGAACAACAGTATGATTACACATTTCACTAAAGACAAATTCCAACTGGTAAAGGTGAAAAGGGGTAGGTTAAGGGGGAAAGGAATTAAGTATTCATATTGTTTTAATTACGGTAAACGTGTTCATTTTCTAACTTTAGATGAGGAGGCAATATTTTTAAAACAATTAGCTGTGATATAATTATACAAATGAATAGGAAGATTATAATTGGTAATACAATTGCCCAGTATTATTTTGAATATAAGAAATAAACTCTTAAAATTATCATGAATAACCTTTAGAAAGTACTTCAGTGAGTCATTTAGCAAAATTATGGCAGTTTTCCATTGCTCAAGAATAGTTGGTAATTAAGAATCATAATTACATGCTTAGACACAAGTCAGTAATGGTGCTTTGTACTGACCTAGAAACTTAATTGTTCTCTAGTCTTAAACTTTTGATATTAAGTGCAGAAATTATTTAAGAGCAAACAAATTGACATTACTGCAGTTTTATAAAGGAGAAACTTAAACTGGTTTCTATGCTTTTTTTCTTTCAAAGCAAGAAGTGATGGAAAAGTATGAGATCTATCGAGACTCTGTCGACAGCCTGCCTTCATGTCAGCTTGAGGTGCAGTTATATCAAAAGAAAATACAAGAACTCGCAGATAATAGAGACAAATTAACCAGTACCTCAAAGGAGGTTAGTATTATGTGGAGTTTTTATATCTGTATTATGTAGTTTACTTGTAGTTCTTGGATTTACTTTTTCTTCCTATTTTCCTAAAGAAAAGTGGAATAATTCTATAGCATGGTAGATGTGGCAATGTATATTGAAGAATAAAAAACTTTTTAGACGTAGCAGTAATAAGACCCATTTGAACCCTCAGATGATTAATAACAGTACATTGCTATGTATATTTTAGGAAAAAGTAATGGAATTTTAAACTTGTTTTAAACATTTGGAAATGATCTTTAATCAGTAGGCATAAAATTTCAACCTAATGCCCAACACTGTACCTCAGATCTATAGAGATTTGGAGTTGATGATCAACTCCTTGCTCTGAAGATAAAGAGCTGACACCAACATCACTTAAATTTCTCAGCTAGAAACTTAAAAATCCTTTTCACTTCTTTGCCATCCAAGTCCAGACTGTCCCCAGCATCATTAACATCGCGCTTGATAAGTTTTTGGTTTGTTTTTTTGAGGGGAGAAGAGGCTAGAGGATGAGAATACTTGAGGTTATTTAAACCAACAACATGCTCCCCTTACCTGCCAAGGAGTCAACAAAAGAAGACTGAGCTCCTCTGCTTTTAATTGTTCCCAGGTCTACCCTTTCTGTCTACCCCTGCTGCCTTAGTCCAGAGCCCGACCCTCTCAACTTAGCCTCTTGGTTGGTTTGATCAAGGTGTACCTCAGTTTCAGTCCACATGGATAAAATGACATGATTGAAACCCCTTGCAGGCATCCTGGTTTTGGTGTCCTGAGTGCCTCGCCATTGTCCTCTTTGTGCACTCCACACTCTCCTGGGCTTTCAGAGCTTAAACAGTTCTATCTCATTTTTAAATTGTGTTTTACTGTCACTCATGGTAGAAAATAATCTTACTTTGTAAGACCTAATTCGTTTTATTGACTTTAAATACTTTAAAAAAAAATACAGAGCCTGAACTTGGAGGACCAAATTGAGAGTGATGAATCAGAATTGAAGAAATTGAAGACTGAAGAAAACTCATTCAAAAGACTGTTGATTGTGAAGAAAGAGAAACTGGCCACAGCGCAATTCAAAATAAATAAGAAGCATGAGGATGTCAAGCAGTACAAACGCACAGTCATTGAGTATGAGCTTATTTTTGATTTAATATATTAGGAAATAATTAAGAAAAGCTAATCATACATCCCTCTCCAGATGCCAGAATTCTAAAACTGTAATTTCAAAAAGATATTCCACCATTAGGTGACTAAAGCTGATTATGAATTATGATTTAATTATGGATTTTATCATGCTGTGTCTAGACGTAGAGATGTTTCAGGTACTTGTATTTTTTTCTTTTCCAGATGTCACAATTCTTACTCATTTATATAATTCTGCGGAAGGGTCTGGTGCTACTGCTTGTTCAGGGCATGTTAGAACAGTGGTCTAGAGTAGTGTCAGCATCACAGCTGGTCTAGTATAGCTAGTCTGGCATTATAGAATCCATGTTTTGAGAAAGTCTTATTTTTTTAAGACTACTTCACTAAGTGGTTTTTAACTGTTGTTTGCCATCTCTGTAGTAGAGCTTCCCTTCAATTCTAAGATTGTGTATTTAGAATAAACGCCCCAGGTAGTCTAGGAGACATCACAGTGTCAGCCTCTTCTGAAAGGTGCATTATGGACTGCCAGAAGGTTTCCTTTGCTCATCCTCATGCAGATGAAGACTAAGGGCAGGACCTTAGGGTTTTATTTTAGCCTTGTTGAGAAGTTGTGCTGATTCGCATTCTCACTGACAGGGCATGAGTCAGCACAACTGGGGAAATGTAACTTCAAATCTCCACTTTAAATACCAGCTTTATGCATAAAGAGCACACTCTGCTGTGGCATGAGTTGGGCACCACACTTGGGTTCCCATTCATATCTTGAGAAGAATTTGGTTTATTAGTCAAATACATGTCATCACTTTGGATTCAAAATGAGTAATCTTTTCCCCTTTTAGATGCTTAAAAGGAATTGTTTAGCCACTTCTGTTTTCCTCTAGAGACTGCAATAAAGTTCAAGAAAAAAGAGGTGCTGTCTATGAACGAGTGACCACAATTAATCAAGAAATCCAAAAAATTAAATCTGGTATTCAACAACTAAAAGATGCCACTGAAAGGGAGAAACTGAAGTCGCAGGTGAGTAAGAGTTCATAAGGAATTAGTAAGTATAAAAATTCATTTCTCCCTCATTGTAAACATTTTTATATGTTCTTCAGAGTAGAAAATGATCCTTGAGGTTATTTGCTTTTATCTTCATTTGTAGTACCTTTCCATTCACCTTGAATAGTTTGTATATTTTTCTCTTCCATACCTTTTTCTTACTGGCCTTTTCTCCCTTACAGCACCTAGCACAGTTTCATGCTTTGCAATAAGAACTGGTGCTCTGTAGAGGTTCTGAGTTTTTTTGATAAGTGCACTTGGATAGTGATTGCAAGTAATGTCCTCTAAATAGTTGTTCTGTTTTTTCCTGGTAAGAATGTCATCAGTGCACTGAGTTGTTACCTCAAACAAAATAGCTTAGAATGGTCTCTCTGTTCTGGAACTTTTAGTAATACCTTTATCATAATTACCTAAAATGACTTTTATTCTTTTCTGGTTTTGAGTATATTCTTTTTATTGTTTTACGAACAGGCTTAATTTTAATAAGAACAAGAATACTGTTTTCTACATTTTTAATCTCCCTAAATGTCAGTTCGCTGCCAAACATAACATGTTTATCTGTCCTTAACTGCCAGTGTCAAAGAGTTTGTTCTGATACATTTACCTCTCTTTCTCTCCTTATAAAGTTTGACTTGTATCCTTAAGATTGACTCAGACTACCAGATATCACTGAAAACAGCCCTTTTATTGTGTAAAATTGCTTTTTTACTTTGTTCTTAACCTTGTCTATCTTGACATCTTAGACTTAGATTTCCAAAACCCCTGGATTGGTTCACTACATTGCAGAAATGAGTATTTTAAACTCAAAATCAGAAATAACATTTTTTTTTTTTTAAAAGATGTATTTATTTGTGCATACAGAACTGGAGTATAGGCCAGAGGCTCAGGGGTGGCAAGAGGCTTCACCAGAGACAGAGTGGGGAGCAGAACAGGCAGATCAATGAAGTACACTGCTGAGGGGAGCAGCGGGCGGGTCAGGAGAGGTCTGCCACGCCATGTGGTCACCTCCGGGGCAGGCAGGGATCGAACTCATGTGGAAGTGGCTGTAGCTTCTCAGTGCTGTGCTTTAATCCACTGCACCACCAGGGAGGGCCCAGAAATAACATTTTAACAGCTGAAGCTGTCCTGGTAGACAGCATGGGTAATTATGGGCCTATAATATTGAAAACAATTAAACTGAACACATTATGTTTCTCAAAAATGTTAAAACACCACTGCTGTCACTGCCTCGTACCATTCTTGTCCACTTTGCAAGGACTCTTAATACTAGATGAGCCATAATCCCCTCAACTGTTTTATGTATCCCCCTGAAAGACTAGATTCTTAACACAGGACTTTGTAAATAAATGTGTATGTCCATTCTGAGGATTGTCTCAGGGCTCTTTAAAATGAAAGAAAAAAGACAATTGTTGTGACTCCCCTTTCTACACAGTACACTGTCTTGATTTATTTATTTATTTATTTATTTTTATTATTTTTCATTCTAATCCCCACTACTTTTCTTTTTTCCTGCTCCTTAACTGGATATTCATCAAGACTTAGCCTTCAACCCTCCCTGTTTATCTGTAGAATGGAGGTAAGAAAGGCCTTAGGTGATATTTAATCCTATTTTTTTAACCAAATCAAATGAGCAAATGTTTCTTTGTTATCACATGGGCAGGTACAGTTAATGAACCAGTTGCTGATGTCAGGGTACTTTATCTCAGTTATAAACAGCACACTGGCCTGCCTTATATTAGGTTTGTGCATGTATGTCTCACCAATAACATTTTAAGTTTCTCAACAACAGCAATCATGAGTTTTTTCCCCCCTTAGTATGTATAGTACACTTTCTGTACATATTTTAAAATTGAAGGTTCATCTAACTTTTTTTCTTTTTTTAAAAAAATGGCTGTGTGCTAGAATTCAATGAAAAATTGAAATGTGAAACCATATATATTGAATTGAATCACCAGCAGTGGAACCCATGAACCTGAATTTTTTAGCACAGCTTTTAAGAACCAATAATGTGTTCTGCTTCATTGTTTTCAATATTCTAGGCTCATAACTACCCATGCTGTCTACCAGGACAGCTTTAGTTGTTAAAATGTTATTTCTGATTTTGAGTTTAAAATACTCATTTCTGCAATGTAGTGAACCAAGATCTTCTCTCTGGAACAAATCTATACCCTCTTCTGCTTAATAACACTTCAGACATTTGAGGATAATGATCATGGGCTCTTTCAGCCTTCTCATTTGGGTTAATTAGTCCCAGTTTTCCAGCCATTCTTTATATAGCTTAATTTTCAGATTCATTACTATTCTGTTTACTGTCCTCTCTCCTCTGTTTCCTGTGTGCCATTATGCTGCTTAAAGTGTAGGATTCAGTACTGAACATAGTGTTTCAGATAATGGCACAGCCAGCCCCACGCACATGGCCTGAAGTATCAGACGAGGTTGGGTTTTTAGCAGCAACATCTTGCCCCTGACTCTGAGCTTGACATCTGTTAAAGGACCCCTTTCTTTTCTGCATGTGACTCTGCCAAGTTAAAATGATTTTACTATATTAATGCAACTATTTCTTTACTCGTTTAATTCATAATTTTATTATTATTTCTTTTAGGTTTTATTTTACTTATTTCATCCTATATTTTGAAATATTAAGATCAGTTTAAATCTGTTTTGTCCTTGTTACCTATTTGTCATGGCTGGGTCACCTCACGCTTGATCAACATGTGTTGAATAGACCCAGGCCTTTGCTTTATCGTATTTCTTCCAGTAGTACTATAGAACCACTGGTCTAAATTTCACATGCAATTGTTCAACTTGCTAGGCTCCTCTACCCATATCTTTGTGTTATGTTGTGATAGCCATTTGTTCCCAAAAGGCACGGGAGGGCCCTAAAACCTGTGGGGTAATCAAGATATGTTTATTCAAAGATTTGCCTTTAGCTTACGTCATAGTCTTCCTCCATGAAAATGAAGGGAGGATATGTGAAGATTGCCAGATTGTTCTTTATGTAATTCTGTGGGATCCTAACCGTCATAGCCCTTTTCTATTAAATTTTCTTTCCTATAGATATTTCATCTCTTCTAGTTTCAGTTATCACCGTTATTTAGATTATTTCTAAAATGCTTTTATCACTCTTTCCTTTTATCACTCTTTCCACTCACCTCAACTCTACTTTTTAACTGCCTGATGGATGTTTTCAATGAACTAGTGTATCACAGTTATAAAATTACATTTTACAATTTACAGTATTTCTTTTTTTTTTTTCTTGCTTTCTCCAGATTTCTCTTTCCCTTCCCCATCTCTTTTACTCTGTTTCTTAGTGCATTTCTTCTAATTCTTCAATGGCATTTTCATTAGAGAACTGAAATTTTGTACTTGCTTTGGAGAATCCTGACATCAGTCACTAAGTTAATATTATGACCTATTTAAACTCATTGATACTGTTTGTAATGGCCCCGTTTCTATTCATATTTCTTGGCATATAATTTTGTAAGACTTGTAAATTGCAGTGAAACTATAAAATTTTGGCAAACTTCTCTGTCACATCTACTCTAAATGCTAAATCCTACCAAATTAAGCCTGTTGGAACATCTTTTTCATCACTACAATTTCTTGTTCAACAGGAGCTCACATTTCCCTTTGTTCATTTAGTTAGTTATTGACTCACAGAATAAATTCTCAGCATGGAAGGATGGTCCCTGTCTTCTTAGAATTTCAACATTTCATAATTAAGCTAGTCATGTACAGTGTTTAAGGTTCTCTTATGCCTCCTAGATATCTTTCCTCTCTCAAATATATATAGCATTTTAGTCTATTCCATATAATCTAGATCTGTACTGCCAATGGGTCATCTACTAGTAATTATTAGTACTGTGGCTATTTACATTTAAATTTAAATTAGTTACAGTGAAATAAAATTAAAGGTTTAGCTCCATATTTGTCCTAGCCATATTTCCAATGCTCATTATCCACTTTGGATTATATGTGTTCCTTCAGGGTGGAAAGCATAATTAGTCCTTACATTATCTGCTATCTGGTTACAGTGCTACTTCTGGAAAGTACCCAATAGTAGATATGATGATAAATTAATATGTCCTTATCAGATAAATGACTACACTGGCTTGTCAAACTCCTGTATATTGCAAAATCTTAAATATCTCTGTTTTGAAAAGTGAGAGTGTTGCCTAGATCAGTACTGTCCAGCAAGGCCTTTGTGCACTCCTGGTCTAGTAGCCACTAAGTACTGTCAGCTGAGCACTTGAGAGTGCTAGTGCAGCTGGTGGACATATAGCTCTTCATGTGGTTTGCTGGTGGTCACCATACCGACACACAGCTCAAGACTTTGAGTTCAGAAATGTTTGACTTCAATGATGCCATTACAATAAAAGTTGCTTGTCATTTACATGTGAATTAATATTATAAACTTCCATTAGGTTATAGAATTTAATTGGAAACTAAAATATAAGGCATTCGTGAGGGCTGTGATGTGTTACCATGAAACATCCTGTGAGTGCTGGCTTAGAACTCCAAATGTTTGTTGCTTCTATGGCCGTGCCCCTGAAGTTAGGCATTCAGGTTTCATTCATTTATTGTAGCATTTGATTCCTTCTGGAGAATATTTCCTCTCTCCCCAAAGGAAGAAGAAACTCTCCCTTTGGGTCCATTAAAATGGTTGGCTTAGATATTTGCAGACTGTCTCTTTATTTAGCCATACTTAGTTTTAATATTTCCTTGTGAGTAATACCTTTCTACCACATTTATTCAACTTTGTTTTTTTGTTTTTTAAAGATTTGTTTGATTTATTTATGCATATAAGAACTGGAGTCTAGGCCAGAGGTGCAGGGAATGAGAGGATTTACCAGAGACAGAGCAGGAAATAGAACAGGAAGATGTACTGAAATATACTGCTGAGGGAAGCAGCAGGGGAGACAAGGAGAGGTCTGCTGCCCCTTGTGGGTCAGCTCTGACTGGGGGTTGACCTCTATTACTTACGAGGTGATCGCATTGAGACTTAACCTCTGCACAACCAGGAAGGTCCCAGCTTTCTTTTTTTGTGTGAATAAATGCATGCCTCTGTAACAGCTAGGAGGTTAAATTGATCTTTTGCTACAGAAAGTGCTGAGTTTTCACTAAGTGGTGTTTATACAGCTACTAATACACCTTATTTTTCTTACAAGATTAAAAGTATAAAGTTTTCAAAAATCTTTGACTTATTTCCTTAATGAGACATATTCTGTTATTAGTAATAATTTGCTACCTGATTAAATCTCAGAAATCTAAACACTCTTCTATTTTGTTTGGAGTGAGTGTTTAGCTTTAAGCATCTATGTATATTTGCTCAGTCTAGAGCAGTAGTTCTCACACATACATTCATGAAATTCTCTGGAAAATTGCTTTTTTATGAAACTATGAGTTCATACTTACTAAATTCAAATCTATATAGTTTGTTCAAATTACATAGCATTTACACTAAGATTAAGTAATAGTTGAAATAGGTTTAAGAAAAATTTACTGGCATCACACTTAAAATTGATACTATACCCATTTACTGCTTTTCTCCCTCTGATCATTTTTTTTTTCTTATCATTTTTATTAAAACAACTCTAAAAGATGTTGGTGTATCTGTCGGTCCTATACTTGTAAAATCCACTTACATATCTTTTAACTGATGATCAGAGTCAAATGCAGAGTTTATAGCTGTTTACAGTAATGTAGGTGTTTATCTGGTAAACATGAGAAGTTACTAAAGAAAACTCTCCTTATAAATATGTCCTAATGTCTTAGATCCCTAGTTATTGTCACATTCTCTGCTTTGTTCTCCAAAAATGTAGCACATTTTTTGTTGGATCTGTACAACTTTGAAAATTAATTTTTAATAAAGGTAGATGCTGTGTGTATGAGAAAAGCACATAGGTAGTTTAGGATTTTAAATGTTAATGCATATGAATGAAACTGGAATTCTTGTAACTCACTCATAGTTTAGGCTGTTGCATGACATAATTCTCATTTTATTTCATTTTCCACTTAGGAAATATTTCTAAACTTGAAGGTTGCCCTGGAGAAGTACCACGAAGGCATCGAAAAGGCAGATGCAGACTGTTATGTTAAAATAGATGAGAAAACAGCTGAATTGAAAAAGAAGATGTTCAGAATATGAGCCTGATTAACAATATTATGTCTTTTATATATAGCTTGCCATCTTTTAATTTTATCTTTGGGAAGGGGCTAGTTAAGTTGAAATTCACATTCACTTCTCGTGGAAGTGTTAGAAATACCCACTATTGGTTCAGTCAGATTTTACAGCTCTCAGGTTATTATTTTGTAAGATAAAGCATTTAAGTAGACTTTTATTAACTTATAATAAAAATAACTTGTAGCATAAATGGCTCCTTGATTATTCCCAATAGTTTTTCAATCCCACATATTGAATGAAAACCATAGTTTGGTGAACAAACTAGAATTTAGCTAGAACTTAGAATCTCTTCATCTTTACCTTTCCATAAACCAACACAGAAAATAGTTTAAAGTTAACTTACTTATAAATGATTTGAGTAGTCACAAAATAAAGAACAGAACTAAAGTGAAATCTTTGTCCCACCAAAATGTAATACCTAACCTAACTGCAGTTTCAACCTCTCCCAGACATGGAATTTTGTACTAATTGATCTGACTTTTTCTGGTGATTTTCGTAAGAACTCTGCTTTCCCCTAGTGGAAGAAGTCTTTGCCTAAATAATCTTTCTTTTTTTCTCCCGATCTCTTTCTGACGATGATAAACCTTCCACTTGTACAATACTTGTTCCTTTCTTCTTGCAGTGTCTTTCTTTTATTAGATGGGATGCTGCCTGATCCGTGAATTGCTTAATAAAGTCTATTTTATCTTCAAATAAAAAAAAAATAACTTGTGCTGTTATTCATGTCTCACTTCTGCCCCTTGTTGTAAATAGTGGCTGGAGTAAAACAAAAATAGCTGTGTTTGAAATGTGTGATTTTTCTGTTAGTTTCCTGTCTGCTGTTGATTGGCTGGTTGATTGGCACACAGTGCTGGACATTACTGAACCTTGACTGAGCCCTGAGTATTACTCCTGGGAGCTCCTTTTGTGCCCCACTCAAACTATGCTAAGTAGATAATACTACTTCATGGAAGAAGTCAATCCTCGAAGCTCCTGTGAGGTTAAATATCTGAGCCAAATTTGATTCATACTCTGTATGATACATAAATCTGGAATGTTCTGTGCTGTACTTTCTAAGCTAATTATCTGAAAGAGGTTTGAATGGAATCAACCTGATTCCATCTTGATGCCATGGCATTTGTATGAGAAAATTGAATTAAAATGTGCAAAGTGCTAGAAAAGTGCCTGGGATATATTCCACATATATGGAACTTCAGTATTTTGAGTCACAGAGTTCTAGATACTTTGGCAGGGAGAATGAAATATTACTATAAGTTGAGACCCAGCTTTCAGTGAATGGGAAAGCCTCAGAATGGGAAGAACAAAAAAAAAAGCAAAGTTGAACAAGGCCCTTGCTTTTTATGTTTAAGAAGTAACCCGGGCCCTCCCTGGTGGTGCAGCAGGTTAAAGCACAACACTAAAAAGCTAAAGCCACTTCAGCATGAGTTCAATCCCCACCCCGGAGGTGACCACATGGCGTGGCAGACATCTGACCTGCCCGTTGCTCCCCTCAGCAGTGTACTTCACCAGTCGGCCCGTTCTGCTCCTACTCTGTCTCTGGTAAAGCCCCTCACCACCCCTGCACCTCTGGCCTGTACCCCAGTTATGTATGCATAAGTAAATCTTTTTTTTTTTTTCAAAAAAATCCATTAAAATTTCTGTTCACGAGCCTGCGTAACAGCTTTTCTTTCATTTAAAATATTTAAATTCCCTACCCCTGACATATCTCCACCTTTAGTTACTGCTCTTTTTCACAGCCAACTATCTAGAAAGCCTAATCTGTACATGTAAATAAATCATTCCTGGCCCATGTGACATTGTTACTTTTATCCATATTAATTCTGTGAACATGGTAAGATCACCAAGCAATAGCAAAATTCATTAGACACATTGAACCTTTTTCTTCTTTACGTCCTCCCTGTCCATACTACTTCCCTTTTGTCTCAGTAACACCACCTTCTTGGCTCCCTATTCTCTGCTGTTTCCTTTTCAATGTTTTCCTATGTGGAATGTCATACTTTTCTGGGTTTGCACATTTCTTCCCTTTGTTTATAACATCGCTTTGTTCAACTGGAAAATACTCATTTTCAAGTCTCAATCAAAACTGCAAATTTAATGCCTTTTATTAAACTTTCTCAGATAATCCTTTTTTAATGTTTTCATTATGACTGGTATCATACTGACATTTGTTCTGGTGAACTTAATCTTGAAGGTGGTGACCATGTTTTTTTTTTTTAAAGATTTATAGAACTGGGGTATAGGCCAGAGGTGCAGGGGTGATGAGGGGTTTCACCAGAGACAGAGTAGGGAGCAGAACGGGCCGATTGGTGAAGTACACTGCTGAGGGGAGCAGCAGGCAGGTCAGGAGATGTCTGCCACGCCATGTGGTCACCTCTGGGGTGGGGATTGAACTCATGCGGAAGTGGCTTTAGCTTCTTAGTGCTGTGCTTTAACCCGCTGCGCCAC